TTCTTTAATTCAACTCTAATTCTCGATCCGTTTGTTTCTCATCATCACTGTAATATCCCACTTGAGGTACGTATTTAAGATTTGATGTATTAGTTAAAAGTTTACTATTTCAGTTTCAATTGAGTTGGTTGATTGGTTGTCTTGAAATTGGTTGAATTTTGATGAAGTTTGGAAATCCAATCTTCGCCGGGGCGAAGAAGAAGCTTCGCCGCGGCGAGGAGGAGTTGCACCCACGGGTAGGTTCTACCCTGTTTCGCCGGGGCGACGAAAAGTTCTTCGCCGCGGCGACGAGCTTAATAAAAAGTTTCTAGAGTTTTCTAGAGAATTTTTCTTTTGGGGCACAATGACCATTCTACCCCTAATTAGTAGGAAAAGTGGGGAGTAAAATGTAAGAAAATTTAGTAGAGATTATGTTTGGATGGGGGTGTAGTTGTAAAGAATCAAAGGATATAGATGGAATTTCTAAGGAAGGGCAAGGGCAAAATGGGAAAGGATGCTTATAATATGAGCTAAAAAGAGTTAAAGTGTAGAGAAACCCTTTATTCATTCATTCCACTGCCTCTTCCATTTGCCTAATTTCTCTCAATTTCTCCATCCAATCTTCCAAGATTTCCAAGGGATTTAAGAGAGCTTTTGAGTAAATTTGAGTAGAGATTTCATCTAAAGCATCCTAAGGTAAGGATTTATGCTTTAGATGTGAGTTTTCTTATAGTTATAGTAAAGTCTTATTTGGTTGTTCTTATTGTTGTTTTGAGTTGTAGAGAGAAGACAAGACAACAAAGGAAAGGAAAAGTGCTAAAGAAGTCACCTTTCCACAAGGTAAGTAAATCCTACCAACTTGAGTTTGCTAAGTTTTGAGTAGAGATGTAGAGATTGAATAGAGATGTATGCTTGTATAAGTATGTTATGTTGTTGAGAATTGAGTTGAGATGAATATGTATTATGAGAAGTGTTTTTGATGTGTGATGAGAAATGGAATTTGAGATGAAGTTTGAGAGATGTTGTGTGAACCTTTTTGGAAGTGCTTTTCTTGGCAGGGATTATGAGTATATGAGGGAGTTTTCCCCCATTTTGGATGGTTAGAGAATGAGTATAGTAGTAATTTTAGTAGAGTGTTTTTATGCACATGAGTTGCTTGATGAATCCTAAGTGAAATCTGCCCTGTCACTGCCTTGACTTTCTAAGTAATTTTTGGGCATCTTACGGGTTGAACTAGGCTGAGACCAAAACATAGAAGTTATAGCCCTGTTTCTAAGCTTTAAAACGAGACCAAACACCGTAGTAATCCGAGGTGTATAACGCAAGTTATGGCCTTTTTAGTGTAACCTGTGCAGAATGACTGTTTTGAGGAAATCTTGTATTCGGCATTTCATAAGTGCATTAGTGAGCATGAGCTTCTATACACATTTGTTTATACACTCAAGAAGTAGTTTGAGTTATAGTATAGAAGAATAGAGTAGTTGTGCATGGAGAACCCGTGAGTAATGGTAGAGTATTCCCGCATGTACGCCGCATTGAGAGAGCGCGATGATATGAGATAGAGAATGTGTGTAGCCCGGAGAGTGCATGCGATGAGGGCTATACCCAGTACCCGAAGAGAGATTATACACTCACGTGGCCAAGGGTTCCGAATCCATGCATAACCGAGTCCGATCGGCTAGAACGAGTAGAGGTCACGTAGAGTGGGAGCGAGTCCCGGCCGTGCCCCCTTAAGATGGGGCCTTGACTATTAAGAGTTAATAGAAAGATTCTAAGAAAGAGATAGAAGAGAGGAGTACCAAAGAGAAATTGAATGAGAAGTTGTAAGGAAAGAATTAGAGAGAGAGAGTTACGGGGATAGATGAGTAGAGGATTTACTTACTGAGCATTATTTTAGTGCTCACCCCGTTGTTTTCCTATGTTTTGTAGGATCTAGGTGAGGACACAGTCGGATGGACGTCGGCGCTCGAGGAGAAGCGGTTACACTGTCTATTATGTTTTTGATGACTTTTGTACACATTATAATTTTGTGTAAAAATGTATATGTTGTAAAGAATATATATAAATATATATATATATGTAATAAAAAGAAAAAATTTGGGCCCAATTTCTTTAAATTATTTTATATGTATTTCATTATGAGTATTTGAGTAGAAAGTGGCTATTAGAATCACTTATCCATCTCCATCGTTTTTCTTCATCTTAATGTCATCTTTAAGCATTAGTGACCTGAAAACACTAAAAATATACTTGTGATCTCATAAAAGATATTTGTGAAATAATTAAGCCAAATCACTCAATTGAAACCTAATTTCTCACAAATAATCCCCATAAACCATCAAGTAAATGTGTGTTTTGAAGCTCTTATCAGGCAACAAAAAATTTCATTTACAAGGGCACCTACATCGGTATGTGATTCAACTGGTAGTCAATCAAATACTATAATGGGCAAGATTTCTAGCTTCACATGTAGTCAAAAAACCATAAGAGACTATATGGTTAGGCACATTGTCGCAACCGATCAACCTTTTTCATATGGTGATTATCCAATTTTAAAATGGTATATGCAAAGTAGTGTACTATCTGCTTTTAGGAGAGTTCTTAGAAATACTTAAAAGCTAGTATTTTTAGAATTTACAATGAAATGAAAATAAATATTAAAAATATAATTAGTAAATTTAATAGAGTTATTTCGTTTACTTCTAATTTATGGACGACCACTAATCAAGATTTAGAATATATTTGTGCAACAGGTCATTTTATTAATTTAGATTGACAACTAGAAAAAAAAAATTCTTGCATTTCGTGTATTAAAATATCCACATACTGGCGTAATTATGTATGAAGAATTAGTTAAAATTTTTAGTGGATATGAAATAAATGACAAAAAAAATTTCTATCACATTTGATAATGCATCATCAAATGATAGAGTTATTGATTTTTTTGTCAAAACAATTAAATCCACCTTATGAAGGTCAATTTATTTCATATTAGATGTGTTTGTCACACAATAAATTTAATTGCACAAGATGGATTAAAATAAATTGAAAATGAAATATCTTTAATTAGGCATACAATTACATTTATTTCATCATCTCCTTTTCGTTTACAACAATAACATTGTTTGTATAAGCAAATGGGGTTAGAAAAGAAAAAAATGAAAACCGATGTTAGGACTCATTGGAACTCCACATATTTAATGTTAAAATCTTGTGAATCATATAAAAATGCTATTACACAATTTTTTAATACAAAACAGTATGATCATCAATGACTAAAAATCATTGGAAACTTGGTTTTTTCTTAATGAATATTTTAGAACCTTTAAATAATGCTAATAAACAATGTTATGGTATTTATTATCCTACAACTTGTTTAGTCTTATATAATATAATGAATATTAGTTTTATTTTTAAAGAATATGGAGATCATGCAGTTTTTGGAGATATTGCAAAAACAAAAAACACAAAAAAAAGGGAAAAACAATTTAGAAAATATTGGGAAAAAATGTCTATATTGTTTGCTTTAGCTACTGTAATGGATCTTAAGATAAAATTATTAAGAATAAATAATATGATAGAAGAAATTTCAGTAAATCTAGAGACCCCTTTAAAAATTTCTTTGGATAATGTTAGAACTTTATTACTTCAAATGTATTCAAATTATGAAGTCAAATGTGGAAACGCGACAAATATACAACCACCATCAAATTCAAGTTCCTCTAGAGGTAAAGAGTGTATTTGGTCTATCATCACTAAAGGTAAACGATCGATAGATGCAAGCTCTTCATATAGTGAAATTACAAAATATTTAATCATGGATTATTTGGTTGAAATTTTGATTCAAATTCATCAATTTGATATTCTTCGATGGTGGAAAGCACATTAAAATACTTATCATGTACTTTCTGCTATTGCACGTGATTTACTAACACCTCCAATTTTTATTGTAGTATTAGAATTAGCTTTTAGTGCAATTAGATGTGTATTGGACAAGAGAAGATCGAGTTTACATCCAAGTTTTGTTGAAACCCTTATGTGTATGAAAGATTAGGTGGCGTCATATTTCAAGCTTTAAAATCGTGTTGTTGAAAATATATTTGAAAATTTTAAGAATTTAGAAATTAATGAAAATGAAGATGTATGATAATTCTTGATCCTAATTTCTAAGTTTGTATTTATAATTTATAATTATAACTTATAAGTAATAAAAAATGTTGAAATTCAATTAATATTTCAATATCTCATTATTGTATTATATTTCATAGTGATTATATATTTTTTTAATTAATACAAATACAAAATATCACTAAATATAAATATAAACTAATTTTATAATAATTATTAATAATAAATCAAAATTATCAAAATTTATAAATATTAAAAAATTTTACAAAGCATGTGGGTCGACCTACAACACGACCCATGGCACGACTCGATATATAGTGGGTCGTGTTGTGGGCCTTTAGATTTGGTGGGTTGGCATGACAAGACAAGGCATAAATTTTTTTGGGCCTTGGCACGGCCCATAATATGACAGGTCTTAAATTTTTTGGCACGGCATGGTTCATCACCAACTCTATATAACAGGTTAAAAGAAATAGTTAAAAAAATAATATTATATTAATATTTAAAAAAATCTACTAATTTATTTTTTAAACCAAAGATATTAATATAATATTATTTTAAAAGACCTACTAATTTATTTCTTAAACCAAAGATATTAATATAATATTTATTTATTCTAATCTAATCTAATTAAATATTTTTAATAATTTTCAAGATAACTTATTTTTTTATTAACGTACATCCCCAGTATACTGTACAACATTTTCTCCACGAAATGCAGCCTTTGGTAAACACCGATAATTTGTAGTTTGTACACACTTATCCCTAAACTCTAAAGCAAACAAACGACAAAAAGGGCAAAACCAGAGTTTCTGACTTGTACGGTTGTACCGACGCTCTCTTCTCATTGATTTTGATGATTATATTCGGTAAAATTCTTCTCCGTCAGTTATCTTAAGTTTTTTATTTGTTGGGTTTATCGAAAATTGATGAGATGATGATGATGGGTTTTGGTTCTTCTTCTTCTTCCTCATCGTCTAATTTATCTGCTTTAGCTCAACCTTTTACAGTTGATCGTTCTGTATCAAAACCCCTTGTGGATTTGACTGAACCGCCTTTGAATTGGCTTAATACTCACTCTTTACCTTTTGATTCCTCCATCAAAACTAGTAATTTTGTTGAAGCCAAGCCTTATTATCCTTCTTATATTTCACCACCCACGTATGATGACTACACTCAATCCTTGACTGGCTTGTGGGATGGATCAAACGGTTGGAATTATCCCAAAAACGATATCAACGTCTCTGATTTACCCGTTTACAAGGATCATATGGATACAGGTTGTCTCTTTTACTAGTACTTTCTTTTCTTGTTTTGATATTTATACATTTTTTTTAGTTGTATTTAATTGTGTGATTAGAGATTTCTGTAAGAAGATTAGCTTCTGAATTGTTAAAATGTTTCTCATGTATTGAGTAAAACTCGCCCTTATAAACGATTTTGTAATGAAAGTATGTGGTTTAGTGATTTAGCCTCAATTGGGTTGCTATAATCCACCTTGCTATGGAAACCGATGTTTTGGATTGCCATAATCCAAATGCTTTCTAAACCAGTTGCTAATGTAACCATGTCCACGCGTGATCCATTAAGCCTTAGGTGACTTTGAGCGTAGCAATGTGGGAGTCAATTGCGTCACTATAATCTACCAGGCTTTTGAAAGTGACAAACATGGTAGTCTTTTTACCTCGCTTCGTCATTAGGTGACTTTGCAAATCTCTGCACGCGTCCTTCTGCAAGGAGGGTCTGCTTGTGTGGTGTTTGCTCTTATACCAATTGTTACTCGCACATTAGGTAGAGCTCATCCTTTAAAATTGGGTATATGAGGAGTGCTTATACGTCCAATTATCAAGCCATAGCTAGTGATGTGGGGCTCAATTGGGTTAGTACATAAAATGGGTATTTTTCTTTTTTCTTTTTTCTTTTTTTTGGCTTTTGCCACCATTTCTTAAGTTTTATGGTCTTGTGTGATTACATTTTCTAGAACCAGATTAGCTTTTGATAGTAAAAATGGGTATTTTGATTTTTCATTTTTTCTTTAATATATGCAGCAGCTCATTCGCCCAAGGTCCTAAACACATGCGAAGAGAAATCTCAGATGCTTGGCTTTGAAAAACACATGGGGTCTTGTAACATTGAAGGGTTTGATTATAAATCTTTCTCAGGGCAAAATACTGAGTTCATGCCTGTTGAGTATTCAAGAAAATCATTTGTTGGATCCACTTCAGTATTTCCTGAAAGCTATTCTCTGGCATCTTATGAGAAAGGTATTAGTCCAAATGATGTTACATCAGTCAGGAAGTCTTCCCCTGGGCTTGTCATTGGAGCACCAAATACAACTGCCTTTAACAATGTGGGAATTAGCGGCCTTGCACACAGTATAGACTTCGCTGCGAATAGTAATTTATCAGATGGCAAAGTTCCCGTTGATTCTAGTAAAGTCAGCTTCAACCTGGACGGGGATCATCATAGTTTTTTGGAATTATCCCCAGAAAAGAAAGAAAAGCTCTTGAGCAACATAAGTGTGACTAAGGATCCCTTCAGGACCAATTCTATTCGACAGGTTGCTCATATTAGTTCAGGTGGTAATGATACCTTGAATTGTTTTGAGAATTCTTCTGATAGTTTAGATCATTATAACCATGCCGTGGATTCACCCTGCTGGAAAGGAGTTCCAGTTTCTCATTATTCTGCACTTGAAGCTTCTGGGCCTGTCCCTCCACAGCTTACAAAGACAATAGAAGCATGCAGTGGCTCCAATCTTATTGGGCCAACCAATAATGCTGTAAAATTCTGCTCTCAGAAACCAAGTGAATTTCCACTGTACCAGGGATATGGGTGCCTGGAAAATGATTTAGCACCTTCTCCAGAAAGGATTTCTGTTGCTAATATGTTAATTCGGGAACTTGGATCACATGATGATGTGAAAGAAGGATACTACCAATCAAGCTATGGCCATGGGTTTCAGCTTTCTGATGACATCGAAAAATCAAGAAAAGAATATGTTCTCTCGAAGAACTCAATGTATGGGTTAAACTTCAAGCCTTTCCATTCCACACAACAAAGTGTTGAGGAAGGTAAACCGACTTCTGAAAGAAAGTGTGAATCAGGCACTGGTGTTGAAGATGTTGGGATGACTACTAGTGATTCCTCAGAAGGTTGTTCATCACATGTGCCATTCCATGCTACAGAGCATGTCTTGAGTTCGCCTCCTGCTGTAGAAGCTGCTCCCTTTGAGCTTACCAAAATGTATGGTAAACAACTAGCTCCCAAGATTTGTGTCCAGACATTGATTAGTACAATGCATAACCTATCAGAATTGCTTCTATCTCATTGTTCAAATGAAGCATGTGAATTGAAGAAGCAAGAACTTTCTGCCCTGAAGAATGTGGTCAACAACCTTGATAAATGTATATTAAAGAATTTGGGAACGGTGGTCCCATTGCAAGAATCATTGTTTCCGGATATAACTTCCCAATTTCTCGGGGGGTTGCCCAAGCTTCATGAGGTATGTTGTCCATGCTAAAGTTTTAATACACATCAAAATCACTTCTCTGATATATTGGAAAAAATATACATGGTGCGGGTTGCAAATTCAGTGGATGGTTTCTGCTTCTTTTGTTATTTATCTGGTAAAAGAAAAGAACGTAATTGACACACACAGGAACTGCAGCATAGATAGACATAGATAAATCATGCACACTATGCTGAATTCTTTAGAAAGCATTAAATATTCCAGTTAGAAGTCCTATTTGCACAAAAGAACAGCATCATTCCTCTGTAAGGATTTCTTGGAAAATTGGGAAATGGTCCAACCTTTTATATTTTGAATAAAGACCTCTATGCTCCTTTTGTTTTTTATTTTTGTAATTGTACAGTCCGGTAATTGTGATGCTTTAGAATCCCTGTAAGACTTTGTTTGTAAATTAAGTCACCAAGGTTTTTCCTAATCCCTTGGAGCAAAGATTTATTTGCAATAGGAAAGCTTCTACTTTCCTGCAGACTGCATCATTGCATAAACACCTTGAAATATAATGAAACAGAATAAAAATGATAACACCCTTTCAAAATAGTTAGAAACCAGATAGATATCAGAGATCTGAAAGTTCCATTTTATCAGGCTGAATGGCCAAAAACACTGAGTGTGATTGCATGTCTTGTAGCTCTTTCCTTGGACAAATTTATGTAGGGTACTCTTTTGCATCCTATTTATAGTTGTTCTCAGGAATTTGTGAAACCCTACATTACCCATTCTAGAATTAATAAATCTTGCTGTTATGTAAGCATGTGCATATAGACATTATGATGCTTTTTGGTGTGTGTTCTGTGATTCTCAATAATACTATTTGGTATTTTTCCATAGATTTCTCATATGCCTTAATAATTCTTAAACATAGATGTGTTCGTCCCAGATCAAGTAAAGAATTTGAAAGTGAGTTTGTATTCATTCTATCATGATGTTGGTTGTAATTTTCCTTATGATGGTTCCAATGTTCCGAAAACGGTTCCAATGTTCCGNAGTTCAAAGTTTCACCAATGAAGGGCAATCCTTTTTTACCTAGAGGAAGATTTTTGGCAGCAGATTTTTTGTAGTAGAAAAGGTAGATGAAACCAACAGAGACATATAAGATTACAAAGTGAATCATGTATTGAGAGAAGAAATCAATAATATCCATAGCTTAATTTCTAGTTGATTCTTGCTATGAATATGTGCTAAAGATTAGAGTATTGAGAAGGGTGAGAACAGGAAGTCACAGGCTTGGGATTTTTATAGGCACATGAAACTTGTCTTTTGAAAATGACATACGAACTATGACATCCCTAATTTTTTTTTTTTTTTCTTTTTAATTTAGACATAGGTTATCTGTTTTTTTTTTTTTTTTTTTCACTATACAGTTAATAGTAGTTGGGTGCACATAACACTTAAAAAGTCTTAATTTATATAATTAATATGTTTTTTTTTAAACAGATGATGTCTAAATAAAATTTCCATATTGATATTTTACTGATATACCCTTTATGTGTTGTACTGTCCTGGCTCGTTCAAGAAAACTCCATATGGCATCTAAGCCAAACCAAAGTAACACCTAGAATATTCGCTTTAATAATTTTAAAACTTCTCAGGTGGGTAAGGGTTTTATATTTTAAAAGCCACAATTAATAGGACAAGTCAGATGGGCCCTCTCTCCATCAATCTAACATTAATGTTTGGAAGTGGACTGACGATTTTGTTAGTAAAAAATAAAACTACAAGTTGATTTATTATTATTATTTTTTTATAAACCCGGTAATTATCTCTAACACAAGACTTTTGGTTATAATTAACTCTAATAAGTAAAGAGTTTATTATCCGGTCACAACGTGAGAGCAAGTTGAAAAAAATCATATTATGACAAAATTTTATCAACAATTATAATCACTACCCAAACTCCAAGCTCAAAAACTAATGCGGTTAGTATGTGTTACTGCTTATTATTATTAAGACACGTACAAATAGCCGTGCTGAGTCAGTAGGCTATTCTTGTCGTAGTCAACATTTTTCTTATAGTTTATGTTGCAAGTCTTGTAGCACAAAATGTGTGAATTCAGCTTTTGTATATAAGACAGTGTAATTGTAATTTCAGATTAGATTGGGATCATAATAAAAGGGTGTTATTTCGTATACAAACTGTCTCATATATACGTGTTTTAAGTTGATTAGATGAATTTAAGTTTAAAAAAATAAATAATTAAAGAAACTCTGTGCGACTGGACCCATCAGTTTATGAACATTGGGTGACTTTAAATTCAGTGTTAGTAAAGGCAAATAGGAAAATTACCATTAGAAAGGGAATCAAAAGGCTAGGCTCCGTTTGATTTATTATTCTGATAGTTTTTAGAATAATTTTTAAAAAAAAATTAAATTAGGTATATATTACGATGTATAATTTGAAAATTAATAAAAATATCATATATGTTTGTTTATTTACTAAACATCCGTATAATAAAATATTAAAAATTAATAAAAATACTTTTAACCTACCCAATAAATACGGGCAGCTGGTCACCATTGCCGAAGGGTGGCTGTAGTGTTTTTGTAATTTCTAAAAAAATATTTAGAATACCCTTAACCTACTCATTAAATACGGACAGCTGGCCACCACTGCTGAAAGGTGATCGGAGTGTTTTTAAAATTTCTAAAAAAAATATTTAGAAGTGTTTAGTTAAATTAAGAAATTTAAAAAATTTAAAAGAAATTAAAAAATATAGAATAATATTTTAGAAATAATAATATTTTACTGTTTAACTTTTTTGGGAATAGTATTCCCAAAACAGAAACAAATGAAACCCAAGCCCAGGTTTTATACGAGACAAAGTGAAGAGAAACTGACGGGTAGAAAAGAAACTATCTGTCTCACCCGTCAGTTCTTTTCACTCTGTCTCATATAAACTTAGCCTTTTAATTCCCTTTCTAATTGTAATTTTCCTATTTTGCCTTTACTGTTCATAAATTATCAATTCTCAATACTTCTTATGATTCACATTTAACTGCAAACTCTCTTTAGCATTTAATTAAAGTGGCTAACATGTACTTCTAATGATTGACATTTAATTACGGAAACTCTTTAGCATTTAATTAAAGTAGATAAGAGTTAAGTATCATTTCTCTTTTGCATCTAAAATAAATTGTCTTATTCTCTTTACGATTAAAAAAATCGTGAAGGATTTAACTCAAATGGATGACTTTCTTATAAATTTGTACAATATTTTGCTTAAAAATAGTACAACAGCTCTTAAAATGAATTTATTATACCTAAAAAGTCATGCTGAAATCAGTTCAACAAATACCTAAAAGACAAATTGTACTTTCTGTCAAGCCATACCGTCTCAAATATATCTTATACCAACCTTATCCCATTTTAAGAGAAGAACAGATGAGAGCTTTCCATGTATCAATGCAACTTGCAAAACACTCATTACATTGACCTCAAAAGTGTATAAATTGTCACTTCTCTTCACGAAAATGGGGGTTGAACATATGAGAGTTAAACATAGATTTGAGCTTCATTCTTTCTCTTTGTAAAACAAAGTATTTCTTCATCTTTGTATATCTTACGGGCAATATCATAGAAATAGTCAGAGAACAGTAAAATAACAGTGGATGCAGGATTTGCTTTAAGCATCCGAACCACTATAAAAACCTCTCTTGGCAGTCTATTATTTATGTTTTCTGCTACATATATAATCTCAGCACCATATTCAAATCTCATGGATTCATCACGTATAATTTCTAAGACTCTCTTAGCACTTTGCATGTGCAAATCGTTGGTGTCCAAAATCAAGCATCAACAGTTTGGTGGCCCATGCAGGTTTGAGACCTGCATCCAAGTTCTCCGATTGTGTGGCCAGATCGCAGATCGCACACGTTAGAGTTCTCCGATCGCGTGGCTAGATCGCAGCTCGCACGCATCAGAGTTCTTAGATCGCATGGCTAAATCGTTGATCGTATGCTCAAATCGTCTTGATCTTCAACTTTAGATTGCTGATCGCGTGGCTAGATCGCTGATCGCATGCTCAGATCGCTAATCTTTAGCTCTCTGATCGCATGGTCGGATAGTAGATCGCACGCATCAAAGTTCTCCGATCGCTTGGCCAGATCGCTGATTGCACGCATCAGAGTTTTCAGATCGTGTGGTCAAATCGCAGATGGCATGGTCAGATCGCAGATCGCATGCATTAGAGTTCTCCGATCGTGTGTCCAGATAGTAGATTGTATGCGTCAGAGTTCTCATATCATGTGGCCAGATCGCTGATTGCACGCATCAGAGTTCTCAGATCGTTGATCGCACGCTCAAATCGTCTTGATCTTCAGCTTCAAATCGCTAATCGCACGCTCAGATCGCTGATCTTTAGTTCTCCGATCGCATGGCCAGATCACTGATCGCACGCTCAGATCGTCTTGATCTTCAGCTTTTGATCGCTGATCGCGTGGCCAGATTATTGATCGCATGCTCAGATCGTTGATCTTTAACTCTCCGATCGCATGGCCATATCGCTAATCGTACGCTCAGATCGTTGATCTAAAGTTCTCAGATCAAGCTTCGCGTTTTTTGATCAAACTCCTTGTGTTCTTATATCAAGATTTGCGTTTTCTGATCGAACTCCTTGAGTTCTCAGATCAAGCTTCGCGCTTTCTGATCAAACTCCTTGTCTTCTCAGATCAAGCTTTGCGCTTTTTGATCGAACTCCTTGTGTTCTCATATCAAGCTTCGCGTTTTCTGATTGAACTCCTTGTGTTCTCAGATCAAGCTTCGCGCTTTCTAATCAAACTCCTAATGTTCTCAAATGAAGCTTCACGTTTTCTGATCAAACTCCTTCTATGCTTTCTGATCGAGCTCTTTATGCTCTCTGATCGAGCCCTCAGATTGAGCTCATAAGCTCGCTCGTTTACTTGAGATCGTGTGCATCAGATCATTCAGATCACATGCCTCAGACTCTCAGGTTGAGCTCCTATCAAATCGCGATCAACTCCTAGCTCTCAGATCGCAATCACCTCCTACTTCTCAAATCGCAATCAACTCTTAGCTCTGACGTTGTGAACAGCTTCAGGTTGTGTTCTCAACTCTCATATTGCGATCAGTTCTCAGTTCTCAGATCGCGACCAGCTGCCAGCATTAGAAAAAACACGTAGAAAACTCAAAATAGCTCCGAAACATGCCGAAATAGTGGATTTTGGCCTCGAAAATGGACCCAATCAAGTTCCCTTGTTGCCACGATGTATAGCTTGGAACAAGCTTTTCGTGGATATTTTACGGGCTCCAAAACTCCTCCCAGATCAAAAGTTATGGTTGTTTTAACTTGGCTTATCCGTTTAAGGCCTCTAAGCCTTGCGTTTGGGCTTCTGATGTTAGCTCCCTCTAGGAATTCATCTATTGGACATTTCATATCAGTTATTAGACCGCGCTCAGCTTCGGATCGCTCCAAGCTCTCAGATCGCAGTCCTAGCTCTCAACACCTGATCTCGCCAAGCATAGTTTGAGCTTTTTAGTTCGAGACTGTAGCCTACAGTGTGACAACCATTCTAATCAAAGACCTTTTTGAAGCATGATTACGTACTCCAAAAACTAAGGGGGTTCTGTTATGCCTAAAATGTCACGCTGATGTCAGCTCAACAAGTGCCTAAAAGACAAATTGTACTTCTTATCAAGCCCATACCGCCTCAAAGATATCTTATACCAACCCTATCTAATTTTAAGAGAAGAACTAATGAGAGCTTTCTATGTGTCAAGACAACTTGCAAAACACTCATTACGTTGACCTCAAAAGTGTATAAATTGGCACTTCTCTTCACGAAAATGGGGGTTGGGCATATGAGAGTTAGACATAGATTTGAGCTTCATTCTTTCTCTCTGTAAAGCAAAGTATTTCTTTATCTTTGTATGTCTTACGGGCAATATCATAGAAATAGTCAGAGAACAATAAAATAACAGTGGATGTAGGATTTACTTTAAGCATCCGAACCATTATAAAAACCTCTCTTGGCAGTCTATTATTTATGTTTTCTGCTACATATAAAATCTCAGCACTATATTCAAATCTCATGGATCCATCACGTGTAATTTCTAAGACTCTCTTAGCACTTTGCACGTGCGAGTCGTTGATGTCCAAAATCAAGCATCAACAGAATTATACAAAATTGTTCAATTTTCCTTAGAATTTAATTCAATTCAAAGAGATAAATTTTGTTTTAAAATGGGTGACATTTAATGACCAAATCACTTTAGCTTACCTCCAATGACATTTAGCTACAAACTCTTTTTAGCATTTAATTCAAATGGATGACTTTTGTTTCAAATCGGCTTAACAACAAACTCTCTCTAGCATTTAATTCTCTGCATACATGTACTTCTAATGATTGACATTTGACTACCAATTCTCTTTAGCATTTATTTAAAGCAGTGGATAACAGTTAGGATAATCCTACACTTATAATCCAATCTCACAACTCTGACATGACAACTCGTAATTGGTTTCTGATGAATTTTCTTGCATGACCAATTATGAGATATCACGTCAAGGTTGTGAGAGAGAGTTTGTGAGATTAGGTATAAGCCAATCTTTATTGTAACAGTTAATTACCATTTATTGGATCAAACAGATCTGCCATCAATCTTGCTGATTTTCTTAGATCAATTCAGATCAAAGGGGTATGTTTGTAGGTTTTCAAACCTACAGGGTTTTATTTGGGGGTGTGTTTGTAGGATTAGAAACTTGTTGGACTATTTTAAAATTTGAGTTACTTGTTGGTGTTATTATTTGCTGTTTGGCTACTGTTGCTGGTGTAGTTATTTGCACTTTTGGAGTATTTGTGTTTATTTGGTGTTATTTGCTGGTGGTGTTGGTTTGATTCACTTGTGTTAATGGGTTCTAATGTGCCTCCTTTTGAAGTTGGTAGACCTATTGATGTTGTCTTTGATGGAACCAATTATGTCAAATGGCATTAGGCCTTGAGAAGTTTCTTGAAAGGTCGCAAATTGTGGCATTATATTTCTTGTGATATCAAAGAATCCGAACAAGGGGAGCACAAAACTAATGAAAATTTTCAAGATCTCCTTGAGGACCGGGGTATCAATAACCATAAGATGATTACTCGGTTCTGTAATACCTTTGTACCAAATCTTTGTCAAGAATTTGGTAACTATGACCTAGCTTAAGATGTTTGGGACTTGTTAGGCAATCATTATGTTACTAGTGGACTGGTTCACCAACATCTTGTTTGGACCGCGCTTGTTAGTATGAAGCAAGAATCTAGACAACCGATTTGTGACTATTATGCTAAAATGTCTGGCTATTGGGATTAGTTGGCTTTGTCTGAACTTGTACTTCCGAATTAGGACGATGCTCAACTTGTACTTACACACAAGACTAAGATGCGCTTGATTTAGTTTCTCATGAATCTCTCTCTTGACTATGAGAATACTCATGCTTATGTACTTGTATATGTTGATGATATCCTTATAAGTGGTTCAAATGGTGCTTATCTTAAACAAATTCAGAAGGATCTTAATGATCAATTTTCTTTAAAAACTCTAGGCTTCTTGAAGTATTTTTTAGCCCTGGAAGCTACAAGAATAGCAGCCGGTATTTATTTGAATTAGACCAAATATGCTTTTGATCTCCTTGTCAAAACCAAAATGACAGAGGCATATGCTTATTCCACACCAACGGTTGTAGGTACTAAATTGTTCTTCACTGATAGTGATCCATTTCAGAATCCTACATTATACAAAAGTATTGTAGGAGCCCTACAATACATAACTCTCACAAGACCTGACATTAGTTTCATTGTGAACAGGTTAAGCCAATTTTTATAAGCTCCAACTGATTTACAATGGCAAGCATGTAAAAGAGTTCTTAGGTACATCAAAGGTACTCTCAGTCATGGTTTACTATTTCAACTAGCAAGTTCTTTACAAGTTGAATGCTATGCTAATGCAGATTGGGGAGGCAACCTAGAAGACAAGAGATCAATTAGTGAATATTGTGTCTATATAGGACCCAACTTAATCCAGTAGAGTTCAAGAAAACAAAAGTTGTTGTGCTTTCTTCCACTAAAGCAGAATATAGAGCATTAGTACATGCAGCTACAAAAATTGCTTGGATGTAGAGTATTTTCTCTGAACTTGGACTTCATTTTGCTGCCACACCTGCCATTTGGTGTGACAATGATAATGAAGGAGCTTTGGCAGCCAATACAATGTTTCATGAAAGAACAAACACATTGAGATTGGTTCTCACTACATCAGAAACAAGTCTTAGCTAAAAGAATTGCAATTCAATATGTGCCTTCCAAGTTATAGATTGCTGATCTCCTACCTAAAGCTTTATCTGTTGCTTAGTTCTCTGAATTAAGAAAGAAATTGAAAGTAATTTCATTTGATATTGTGAATCAGAATCAGGAGTTGAGAAGTTGACATTGGTGTAACTAAACCATTTGAGTAGTTGATGTTAGAGCTGAAATCAGTAACTATAGGAGTTTTATAGTAGTCCTTCGTGATGGTAGTAGCAGTTTTGAAAATCATAGTAGAGAAGTTGTAGCACTAATGTAGCAATAGTTTTGGAGATGTTTTTAAAGATTAATGAAGTGCTATAATAGCAGTTTTTTAAGATTACATTTGAGTAGTTGATGTTAGAGTTGAAATCTGTAGCTAGTTTTGGAGTTTTTTTTTTCAAGATTAATGAAGTGTTGTTATGAAGCTTAGTTTGAGGAGGAATGTTGACCTATTTGGGAAGATTAGTGAAGTGCTATTATGAAGCTTAGTTTAAGGAGGAACGTTGACCTCTCAATATTAAAGGTTTACATGTTTGAGTTTGGAAGATTAATGAAGAGAAATGTTGACCTCTAAATATTAAAGGTCAGGTAGTTTAGTTTGAGAGGGAATGTTGACCATAAGAAGTCAAAGGATGAAAGTGCAAGAAGCTGAAGTTAATAGAGTGAGTGAAGAAAAGAGAAGATGTTGTCATTTCCATAAAGAAATGAAATAGTTGAAGAAGCTGATTGAAAAAAAATTACTGTAGCTTCTAAGAATAAATGTGTAAATGATTCCCGCTTTGTTTTTAATCAATAATCAATAAACAAAATATTAGTAGTTCATCAGTAAACTCTCTCTCTCTCTCTCTCTCACTCTCTCTCTCTCTCTCTCTCTCTCTCTCTCTCTCATATTTTCTCGATTCTTGTTCTCACATTTACAAGAATTATGCGGAAAAATGTTACTTTTGTCTTTTTTTATTATACGTTTCTTAAAGGAGTTTTATTATAAATGGACCCTTATACTTTATTTTTATTGGATACTCAATATCTTAGAACCTTTATTTTTAGAGTAAACAACCTTTTTCCACCCAAGGTTTGGCCCAATAACAGTCTCCCACCCACCAAGTTTCATTGGAGGTGTAGCAAGGAGAAAATAATTCATTTATGCTTTGCTGATGATATCATGCTTCTTTGCCATACTGATGAAATCCTTTAGATTATCCAAGAAGCTTTAACTAAGTTCAGCTCGTGGTCAGGAATACATGCAAATCCCTCTAAAAGTAGCAGTTTTATTTCAAGTGTGCAATCTAATAAAAAAACAAGCCATTTTGAGTGTGCTTAACTTCAATGAAGGAAAACTTCCTATTGCTTATTTGGAAGTTCCTCTTATCACTAGAAAGCATATTTTTGGAGATTGTAAATCTCTTTTGGACAAAATCCTTGCCCGCATTAAATCTTGGAGAAGCCATTTTCTTTCTTATGTAGGTAGACTTATTCTCATCAAATCTGTTCTCACTAGTACCAAGTTTACTGGTCAGCCATTTTTATTCTCCCGTTTAAGGTGCAGATTGAGATTGAAGCCACCCTTCGAGCCATCTTTTGGGATGGAACAGACTTGAAGAAAACAAAGGCAAAGGTGGCTTGGGACGAGGTTTGTGTGTCGAAAGATGAAGAGGGTTTGGGCATTATGCGTATTGGGGATTGGAATAAGGCTGCCATGATGAGGCACCTTTGGAACATCACCCAAATGCAAAGCAACTCAGGGTGGATAGCATGGGTTAAATCTTATCTACTTAGGGGTAAGTCTTTTTGGGAGGTCTCTATTCCTAATAAGTGCTGATGGGCTTGGAGACAAATTCTCAAGCTTAGAAGAAATGTGAGATCCCTCATTAGAACCGAGGTGGGTAATGGTAAATCTACCTTATTATGGTTAGAAAATTGGCATCCTAAAGGTCCTTTGTTGGACACTTATGGTGATAGAATTGTGAATGATTCAAGTTTGAGCCTGCATGCAAAGGTTAAAGAGATAATTGGGAATAGGGGATGGAAATGGCCCTCTGCTAATTCTTGGGAGCTTATGGAAATGAAGGCCTTGGTTAACTTTGTCCCTAATGATAATGAGGATAAAGTAGTTTGGATCCCTAACCCTTTGAAAGCTTTCTCTATATGGGAGGTAATTAGAGCTCGACGCTTTAAGGTTGAGTGGAATCACCTTGTTTGGTTCCCTAAACACTTCCCAAGACATGCAATCATTCTTTGGTTGGCCATTAGAGGGAGACTTCCTACTCAAGACCAATTGGTTAGGTTTGGCTTAGTCAACAATATGTCTTATTGCTTTTGTAATGCAAGAATTGAAAGTTTGGACCACCTATTCTTTGGTTGTTGTTTCACCTTGACCATTTGGAACCGTATCCTTCACATGTGCAATTTAAGGTATTGCACTACTTATTGGCATGATTATATTTCCTATATTTCGCAAAGATGGAAGAAAAACAAGTTGAAGTTTATTCTTGGGAAATTGTCACTTAGTTCTACTATTTATTCCTTGTGGATAGAGAGAAATGAAAGAAGATTCAAAAGGAATTACTGAGATGCCTCAACTATCGAAGATTACGTGAAGTTAGTGGTTTGAGTCCAAGCCATTGATTTGAAAAATATTAAAGATTCGATTGAGAATAGAGAGATGGTTGATAATTGGGGTCTCCCTTATTCAATCTTCAGTTAGTTTGTTGCTTGTTGTCTTGTTTAAGCCGATTGGCTTTGTTGCTTGCTTTCCCTGCATGGAGTTGTTTCCCTGTCTCTAGGTCTGTCCAGTAGCTGGATGTGTTTTCTGTTGTCTTCCTTAGGGAAGGGTGTTTTTCCTGTCTCAAGGTTTGTCCAGTAATGGGATCCTGTATCCTTTTGAGGCGCCTCTCTTTTTTGGTTTATAAAGCTTAATTACCAAAACAAAAAGAAAAAAAAAGTTTCATAATGACATTTTCCCACCCTCTATTATAATTTGTTCGTTCATTTTAACTGCAAAAGGATAGAATGGTAAATTTAGTTTATTTTTATTTTTTCTTTTCTTTTAAATATTAAAATATTTTATAAATAAATAAAAATTTTGAAAATAGAAAACTGGTGCTAGCGGTTGTTAGAACCATTGACAACGACCAGTCTAATGCCACTGTCGGCGCTCTCTTCGCTCCCTCCGACACCGCCTTTGTTGCCTTCGACCAACCCTCACTCTCCCTCCTTCAACTCCACTTCTTCGGTTCTCCCCTCTCTTTCTCACTCTCCACTCCCTTAAAACCCAACCTTGCAACTCGTTTCCCCTGTCTGCAAGTCCCTACGATAATTCTAGCAATGAAGATAGTATAATTTCTTTTTCACTGATTATTAGAATCATCAACTAACTTTGTTTCAATGAGTAAATAGATTAAACTATCTCTATTTACCATCACAATCAGCTTCTTGTTTGAATAATTACAGCAATTACTCTTAAATTTTGCCGTTGTTTCTCCATTGATGATGTCCAAATCATTGGACTTGCATTAGAATTTTATAAAACTTTCTTCTTACTTTGTTGAGTGTCTCACTAGAAGCAACTAGACCCAATTACTAAAGCTAAAGCAAAAGAGGTCAAATGAATGGTGGTTGACGATGATTCCTCTTTCCGTCTCTCTATTAAAAAAGAGAAAAGAAAGTCGTAGTCGACGATAAAAGAAGAAGAGAGAGGCAAGAGAAGAAAGGAAGAAAAGAAAGAGGGAAGAGAGGAAAAAGAGAAGTAGAAGAGGGTAAAATGACATAGTTACCCTCTAATTTTTTTTAATTACCATTACGTCCTTGTGTAGTTAAAATTAACGAACAAATTGTAAAAGAGGGTGGGAAAATGTCATTATGAAACTTGGCGGGTGGGAAAGTGTCATTAGGCCAAACCTTGGGTTGGAAAAAATCGTTTACTCTTATTTTTATCTTTAAGGACACACAAGCACTTATAGTTGTATAAAAAAAGGTGGCTTAAATAGTGTTCTAACGAGAGAATATTACATTCACAATTGTTTTTCTCACATAGCTCATAAATGCCATGTTGATTTTCACCAAATTCATACGTCCTTGTTTGGGTGAATTTTTTACTTCTTTAGTGGTAATTATTTAAAACTCGGCCTAGCCCAGGCGGTTGAACCGGTTGGACCGGGACCTAGTCGGTGAGTCGGGCTGAGAGAACCTAAAACCGGACAATCATTTCACCCATAATCACCCATGGTTGGACCAAGGTACTGTAGCAACCCTCCAATCCAATCGGCTTTTCCCAAAAACTGGGTCAAACGTAAAAAAGGTGGCTTAAATAGTGTTTTGACGAGAGAATATTACATTCACAATTGTTTTTCTCACATAGCTCATAAATGCCGTGTTGATTTTCACCAAATTCATACATCCTTGTTTGGGTGAATTTTTTACTTCTTTAGTGGTAATTATTTAAAACTCAGCCTAGCCCGGGCGGTTGAACCGGTTGGACCGGGACCTAGCCGGTGAGTCAGGTTGAGAGAAACTAAAAACCGAAAAATCATTTCACTCATAATCACCCTTAGTTGGACCAAGGTACTGTAGTAACCCTCCAGTCCAATCGGTTTTTTCCAAAAACTGGGTCAAACATAACCCCCCCCCTCCCCCCCCCCCCCCCCCTTTTTTTTTTACTTCCTAAACCTGATTTTCCCCCAAAATCTCCATTCTTCATATTCAAATCTTGGATTCTTCATTTCTTCTTTGAAAATCTGCACTTTTACTTTTCTTCATCTTCTTCTTCAATCTTCATAACTTCATTTTGTCACTCTTCCACCGGTTTTCCCCCAAAATCTTCATTATTCATCTTCAAATCTTCAATTCTTTATTTCTTCTTTGAACATCTGCACCTCTTGCTTTTCTTCATCTTCATAACTTCAAATCACTTTTGCTATTCTTCAATTTTGATGTGCAATCCATTTGGAAATATAAAAAAAAATTGAAGAAAATCAAATGCAAAACTGAATCTGCATTCTTGTGGGTCTCAATGATTTTGGAGACGTGGTAGGGTCTCAACTTGGGAATCAAGAATCAAGTGAGTGAGTTCTGGGTTTTTTGCCATTGAAGATCGGATAAAATTTTGCAGATTTTAGTAACCAAGTGCAGGGATTTATCTTTGGTTGAATAAAATTTGGATTTTGATACAAAGAAGAGAAGCAAACATAATATGTTCAGGTGAAACGAAGATGGGTTTTTTAGAAAGGGCTTAACATTTCTTATAGTGATGTTGTTACAAGAGATATAGAGGTTTAAGAAGGGAAGTGAGTTGACTTGGTGAGTTGGTGAGCATGGTAATTGGTGAACTGTAGTTATGCAGAAGTAGAGGTAGGAGAAGTAGTGAAAGGGTATTGGGCTAACTATTAGGGCTGTACAAAAAAATCCGATATCCGATCCTAATCCGCTCCGCTCCACTCCGAAAAATTCGGATCGGATACAGATCAGAATTTAGCAAAATCGGAATATTCTGATCGGATACCGGATCGGGATTATTAAAAAATCGGATATTCGTATCCGATCCGGATTTTGCTAAACTAAGTCGTTTTGAGTTTTAAAAATTAAATTCACCCTAACACTAACAGTCTTAACTCTAACCAAAAATAGACTATACTGACTACTGAGTATACTCCAACGAAAAATAGTCTCACTCTCTGTCTCTCTCGCTCGAACACAAACACGCAGTCACGCACAGTCGCATAGCCTCTCACAGAGTCACAGTTTCACTCTCTCAAACCAGATCTCGTCTGTCATCTCAATCTCTCACTGTCTCTCTCGCTCAAAGCCTCAAACACGCACAGCCTTTCACTCTCTCAGACCAGATCTCATCTCAATCTCACTCTGTCTCTCTCGCTCAACTCTCTAACTCTCTCGGTCTCTCTCGCTCGAACACGCACAGACAGACACACAGTCAGTCAGCCACTCACTCGATGTCTCACTCTCTCTCGCTCGAACACTCTCAGATCTCAGTCTCTCTGATGATTGAAGCCCCAAATCGATTGTTGTCACATCCTAGTGCGACTATCGCCACACCGTAATAGCCTGGTGCGATTTCGTGGTGCTTATTTCTTTATTATTGTTGGTGATGGTTTGTTAATGGTACAATTTGATGGGTGTTTTTGTTTTGATGTTGATTTGAGTTTGATGTTAATGGCATCGTAATATGGTGCCTTCTCTCTTTGTCACGGTTACAAACCTTCTATTGTTCATTAGTATTGAATTATTGATTTGTGTTTTGAACCCATTACAAGGTTGATGGAGGCTGGGTTTGATTCAAACTGTGCCGATTGGGTTTGGTTTTATGTGTGATTCCAAAGATTGTTGGTGGCTGGATTTGATTCAAACTTAGTGACTGGTTTGATTTTGTTTGTTTGATTTGTGTTTCTAACGGCTGCTGTGGTTAATTTGGGTGAAGATAATTTAGTTAAGTTTACTATTAATTTACCTAATGGGACTAGTGTGTACCAAAAGGCTGTCAGTACTGAAGGATTAGTTTCGTCTAAGCATGCAGAAGAGATTTTATGGGAGACGATGACTGGAATATGTGGGAGTGGTGTTCAGAGATGTGTAGGGATAGTTGCTGATAAGTATAAGGCTAAGGCATTGAGGAATTTAGAGATTCAGAATCAGTGGATGGTTAATCTCTCATGCCAGCTTCAGGTGTTTGTTAGTTTGATTAAAGATCTTCGGTCTAATTTCCTCTTATTTGTTACTGTAACAGAAGATGCCCAGAGGGTGAATGGCACTACCAAAGTTGGTGGGGCAGAGGATGCAGAGGTGGGTTATACTCGTTTCAAAGCAATAATTATTGTTGTTATTTTTCAATGTTTGACATAATATTTTTCCTTTTGTGCAATGATGAATTGGAGCACCTTGATCTTGCTACGTGGGGTGGCAAGGGACAAGACTTGACGGTCAATCTAGCATTTACTTAAAAAGTCCCCTTGTTTTTCGCTTGCTGTCTTTTTTATGTAAATGCCACAGGAGCATTTCTGCTTTTTGGGTTTCCTCTGTGCTGCAGTGCTGCTTATGTTTGTAGTTCATTGAAACTGCTTGCATCTTAGATTATTGTTATTGTTCACTTTGATGTTGTTCCTATGAAATGTGACACATTCTAACTGCTTATGTTTGTAGTTCATTGAACGCCCAATGAAGGATTGAATTATTTGATTTTAATAAGAAAATCTTAAAATTCGGATAAAGTGCGGATATTCGATTATCCGATCCGAATAATCGGATATCTGTAAAATCGGATATCCACATAATTTAGATCGGATTCGGATCAATATATAGCCTGATCCAAAAATTCGGATCGGATAAGGAAAAACCCTATTCGGATTGGATATCCGGATTGGAATAGCCCTACTAATTATGCTTAAAATTTTCCTAACATTTATCCTAATACATTTATTTTGAAAGTCGAAAATAATAAATCTAAATGTTATAATATTTTATTTTTATTTTTTAGTTTAAAGATCGGAATAAATTTTTTAAATAGTAAAATTTTATTTATTATCATTACCATTTTAACATATATAATATTATTATTGCACAAGTTAAGAGGAAAAAAAATTAAAACTTTTTTCTTTTTAATTTTTGGTTTTAAATATTGAGTTGAAATTTGGTGATTTAAAGTTATTTTATTTATTAAAATAAGATATGAAATATGAAGTTAAAAGGGGTGTGTTTTTTGGATTTCAAACCTGTAGAGATTAATTTGTAATTTCTGTTTGCTATTGTTGAATATGTTGATGTCACCAATTTGATAGTTGAACCGCTCAACTCGGGACCCAATCCCTTGACCGAGTCAAGACCCAAGTTGGGTTTTAAAACCTTGGTAATTAATGCCACCGAATTGGAAGCAAAATTTTAGCTTTATGTCTCCTAGCATGTCAAAATTCTCAAGCTTATTTGGTGGCTTCACAATTTCACATGCCGAATTTTGCACCAAAAATATTACTCCCTCTGTTTCGAAATAAAAGTCGTTTTAACCTTATAAATTTTTTTCAAAATAAATGTCGTTTGGCCAAATGTAACTCTCTCTCTCTTTCTCGAAGTATGCCCATGTCTCCTCTCTCTCTTTCCCTCACCCCTCATCTCCTCTCTCTCTTTCTCTTTCTTCTTTGAGCAGCAAAGAGAAAACAATTTTACATTAAAAAATTAGTTTATTAAAAAGCATACAATGACTTAAAACGACTTTTATTTCGAAACGGAGGGAGTAACAAGCTTTGGTCTTCCCTTTATTATGAATATGAGTGCATTTTGATAGCAAATTCATCACACATGTTTTCAAGGAATATAAACCATTGTTCTTAAACCCGGACAGGACCGGCCGGTTGAACCGGTCTGATTGGGTTTTGGCCACGACTCTGGTCTAATAACGCAAGAAACCAGGTTTCATGCTTTGGCTCGCCTTAGACCTCTGTCGGACCGGCAAAACTAAAAACCCATAAAACCATTCTAAATTTCTAATTCTACAACTTCATTCGTCTTCGTTCATCTACGGTCTTCATTCTTCTCCTCGTCATGCCAAATTATCGATCGACTAGCTTAGGGTGCTACACTCCATCTGTCTTCCTCTGTCGGCCATATAAGAACAAATCGGCGAAGAAGTTAGACGACTTGGCTGCCACGTGAAGGTATTGTGGTTCGTTTTCTTGCTTTTTTCTAATATGCTTCAGTTTTAGTGTTTTAGATTGAATTTGTTTATGATGTGTAACAGAACAAAAGAAAGTGCAGAAAATGCACCAAGAAGAATGAAACCAGAGTACAGAGGCCAAGAGCGATGGAGAAGATGAAATACTGTTATTCCNGGGGTTGTGAAAAAGATTGTAAAAGTTGGTTGGAAAATGAGAAAGAATGGGTTTTGTCGATGTTGCTCTTTGTGTTTACATGAGGAAAACCGAGTTCTCTTACTTTGTCTTTCCTATCCCTTCTTTCGAGCCACTCACCCAAGCCTAATGTTACAAGCCAACAAAGACCTTTTGATTGTTAGTGATGTCTAGTCCTCATTAGTGGAGAGTAGTTCGATACTTAGGCTTATGGAGTCTACCATCCTTTGATAAATTTCACATTTTTGCATAAAATAATCCGGGAAGTTGGAAGGTGGATTGAAGTGGGGATCACCTACTTAGGGGACAAATAGAGAAAGATAGTCAAACAATTTATAACTTCTTGGAGTGTTAAGCATTTTCTTGTAATAATGTATCAACAATTTTTGAGACTTGCATTTGCAATCAATTCTAGGCATCTCTTTTGTGTTTGATTTTAAAATTTCCTTTGCTTTTTCAATTTTTTTCTTTTTTCTGTTGTTCTTCTTTAGTCTCATTTTGTGCCTGATGCTCAAGGATGAGCATACCTTAAGTTTGAGGGTATTTGATAATCCTAGGATTATACTGTTTTCTCTATGCTTTTTGTAGGATTTCACATACTTCTTATTAAGTTTTGTTCCGGAATTGCTACTTAAATTCGTATATTTTACGTTTCAGGCCAAAACGTGTAGTTGGAGCAAAGCCGAACGAAAATGAGTTTTTGGACCCAGAATCAAGCGAAATTCAGGAATCGGGGGAATTCTGATGCTGATTGGAAGCACTGTAGAGCTTGTTCCTATCGGAGATCACAAAGATCGAAGACTCAAGCGAAGAAGCAAGCGGAGGGCAGTTTCATAATTTCAAAAAGTTTAGCAAGAGTTCACCGCGGCAAGGTTCTTTCTTTGCCGCGGCAAGCTAGCCTCGGGTAAGATGGTTCAGCAAAAAATTCAAATCGATGCCGTGGCGAGATTCTTCTTCGCTGCGGTGAAAACTACAAAATTATGTTTTTGTAAAATGTTGCATTTTACTTGTATTGTATTAGTTCTTAGGGTTTTTGGCCGACTATTTAAGAGAGAGTTTGTTCATTTTTTAGGGGAGGTCGACATTGTTAGATAAGGGGAAGAGGCGAAGGAGATTGGAGGAATTTGGGTCTCCAAAATAGGGAAGAATTAATTCCTCTTTCAATTTCTAATATGTTGAACTTCGCATTTATAGTTTATGTGATGTTTTTCTTTATTTTGAGCATGAACTAACTCACTTTTGGGGTAGGGTTTTGATGTAACTTGGATTACAATGGTTTAATCTATAAATTTGTGTTGTTTTTGAGTTTTATTGCTTGGATTATGTGTTTATTCTTGTTCTTAATGCAGTTTGATGTTGGCTTCTTTTGATTCAATTGAATGTTGAGCATGATGGGATTGAGAAGTGATTATTGTGTTAGCTTCTTAGAGTAAACACTGTAGATTAAGCAAACGCTAGAGATATGTTTAGCAATCTATGAAATCTTTATAGGATTCCATTTGGCTTGATAGACTTTGAACTATTAACCTTCAATTTTTTGGGTGCGGAAGTTTAATAGGGAGAGGTAAGAGAATATAGCCTGAGAAGGTACATTCTACAACTTAAGGAATTCGATTATACTCCTTGCATGTGAATTTGGAAGCAATAGAAATTGTAGGTTAAACTAGAGTATCCTAGTGAAGTCGAACCCTAACCTATTTTGCCTTGATTTGAATTTGAGTTGATTAGTTTAGTGTTAATCTTAGTTGTTTGATTTTGTGTTTTAATTCTAGCTTTACTTTCCCCCACAATTCCAACATTTTTGTATCCTTCAATTAGTAATAGAATTAGGAAACTTGGTTATTAGCATGTGATCCCGTGGGAACGATACTCTACTTCATCATTGTATTACTTTTTGTGACTAGTGCACTTGCTACATATGCATGTTTGTCAAAGCACACATAAGTACTTATGCAATTTTGTTAATAGGTTTCATTGGGTTCTTGTTGCTATTGACATAAAGACTTTAACTGTGTACTATCTTGATTCCTTGAGGGGAGATATTGGGCAAGATTTACAGGAAATAGTGCAAAAGTTAGTTATTCTACTTATCCATTTTTAACGCTCTATATAATATCAAATACTGTGTGTTAATTTCAGAAGTTGTTTTAACTTTCATAGTATTTGATATACGCACCAAAATCTTAATCCATTCTGCCCATAAGGTGTTCCAAAAAAGGGTTAATATCTCATGGCAAAAAGTATTGGTGCGTATAATTGTTATTATCAATAGCAATTTCAATTATAATATTGTTTTACCTTTTGAATATTAATGCTTACTTTCGAATTAATTTTTTTGTAGGGACCCATTCAACCGGGAAGCGTTGAATGTGGGTTTTATATAATGAGATACATCAGAGATATAGTTGAGAATGGGTTGGCATTACTGAAAAACAATGTAATTTTTTTTTTTTTTTTTGAATAATAAGATATAGTTGATATTTGTTAATTAGTCTTATTGTGTTTACTTTTATAGTTCATGGGGAAAAAAATATATGAAGATGCGGAGGTTGATGAAGTTAGAGGAGAATGGGTGATGTACAAATCATTTTTGTTATTGTTGTTTCAATGATGTTAGAGGCCAATGAGGGCAAAAACTATGTATCAAACTTTTCATTACTGAATTGATTACTTTTCGTTGTTGTTTATGCAATATTGTAAAATTTATCCTGTTGCTCAATTTTGTTTACTCAGAGCAACAGTAATATATGAATCATTTGATCAATTGTTCGATGTCCCATTATATATTGTTGAATGGTGATAATTGTTGGAAGGATAAATATTATGAAGCATTTCATTCAACTATTCTATAATTTAATTCGTAATAATAAAGAAATTTTACTAATTAAAAAAAAATTAACAAAAGAAATATTGACAGTGTGAAGATTGTCAATAATTTGGCTAAAATTCTAAAGAAAAATCCTTGAAAATTCGGCTAAATGCTTGATAGTTCGATAACTGTCAAGGATTTGGATAAAATTATGCTAAATCCTTGATAGTTATCGAACTGTCAAGGATCCGTCAAGAGGTCCTTAACAGTTTGAAAACTGTCATGACCCTTCATTGATAGGGGCTACAATGATAGTTCAAAAACTGTCATTGTACCCTTGTAAACCCCGCGTTATTATTCTGATGCCCTAAGGTATGAAATTTACCTTTTCAAGTAATTTTCTTTTTTTTGAATGGAAGGGTAAAATGGTCAATTTACATGTATTTCGAGATGTGGCCATTATAAAGTGTAAGGGGTGATGTCATTGAAGAGAAATGAGGGTAGAATGGTCATAAAGTTAAATTAGTCATTTACCTAATGGGATTGCTTAATTGTTAAGCGTTTCAAAGAAGTCAAATGGCATTAAATGAGTGCTAATTATTATGTTATGGTAGAAATGACCAAAACGCCCTTATATGAAAAAATTATGCCAAATCACCCTTATATCTAACTTTTATAGACCAATCACATTACAGTAACAATGGAATAAATATTTACAAGGTTTTAAGAGAGAGTAGTCGGCCTTGTACACCCCAAATATATCATCTTCTTCTTCATCTCTCAAATCCACCATAAAAGCCACTAATCCAAGCATTTTATTCTCAAATTTTCATAGGATTTCAAGTTGATTTTCAAAGGAGATAACCATCCACACTTAAAGAACTTCAATTTCAGAGTTTAAGGTGAGTTTCAAAACCCTGGTTGTTCTGATCTTTTAGTTAAAAGAGAAATTCATAAGTGGTTATGTGTATAAGGTAGAAAGGGTGAACCTTTGGAGCTAAGGAGGAGTGTCTTTGTGCTTTGAATACTAAGGTAAGGAAAAAATCTCCCTTATGACTACAATTGATAACACCTAGGGTTTATGGAACTTACATTTATTTATGTTAATATGAGTGTGATGCTATGTTTTGGTTATGGATTGTTTAAATGGGTGTGTTGATTTGTGTATGTGTGCATATGGAGGATGATTATGCCAATTAAGAGATTTGTAGTTGGACGATGTTGTAATGATTGCTTAATACTCGGATATTCATAAAAATTTCATGAAGAATATATAAGTAAATGGGCCCAAAATTCTCTTTTATTACATATAAACATTATTTATACAAAACAGAGTATCATGTACAAAATGATATTAAAATAGTGGACAGTGTAGCTAGAACCTGCAACCACAAAGAAAATAATGGGGTGAGCACAAAACAATGCTCAGTAAGTAAATCCTCAACTCGACTGTCCCCGTAACTTTTTCTCTTAATTCTTTCCTTACTCTTTTTCTCATCTCATTTATTTTCTCTTTCACATAGCTCTCTTTCTTAACTTCCGCTATATATCACGGCCTCATCTTACTGGAGGAACGACCGGGTGGAGTTCACACAGCACCAACCCACTCTCCGTGATTTTCGGGTGGAGATCACCAAGCACCAACCCCTTACTGTTTCTACTATCGGGTGGAGATCACAAAGCACCAACCCGTTCTCATACCTATTGGGTGGAGATCACAAAGCACCAACCCGTTCTCAAAGCTTTACTCATTCTCTTAGCTTTACTCATTCTCTCTACTCTTAGAGTAGTTCATTCACACAATTCTCTACTCTTTTTCAAACTAGTAATCATAGTGTAGCTTAATGCTTAGAGTAGGTTAGTCACAAAATTCTCTACTCTTTCTCACACTATTTCTCCAATGTACAATTAATGCATATGGATGGTTCATGTTCAAGAATGCACATAGGAAATGCCAATATGCAATGTTGCAACAAATAAGGTTCACAACTCATGCTCA